ACATCGGAGTGGCCTGTTATCATGGGATCTATAACATGTATTTCCATGCATTTTGTGTTCTTTGCAAGTGCAACTTCAGCGTAAGACGTAGTCAGGAATTAAGTCGCCAAGCATATTAACACTGAAAAAATGGACTTCACACTACAAGTTTTCAAGTATGAACAGTTACTCTTTAACAATTGCAGTGTACCTGTCTATTTACTTGGGGTAGCAATGTTTAACTGTAAATTGTATCGTTGTTCTTTTGATTGTCTCTCTCCAGCATTGCCTGAAATGACCTAGGGAGCATATACGTTAGAGTAACTCAAAGCCACACCCTGTCAAAAACACAAGCAAATTTGATTTAAAAAGTCAGTTAAAGTGACCAGGAAAGGTCTCACACTGCACCACAAACCGTTTAGAATCCAGATTTTGCTCTCAGTAAAATACGGCACAGAAGTGTGTTCACAATGACTTTGTTGTCACTACTTGCAACCTTTACATTGTGGATCTGCTGGTGGATGCACGATGACTTGTTTTGATTACAGTACAGTACTACTTTATACACATGTACTCATTGCAGGTATACACCAAAGTGCAAGCTATGTATGAGATGTATTCTGCCCTTGGATTGAGGTGGATGGTTGCCTACATGAGATGGCCTTTACTCTCAACATTGTTTGACTGGGCATATATGGTGTTTGCAAGAAATCGACTTCAGTGGTCCAGCAGATGGCGCAGGTGCCATAATGGGAAATGCAAGATTGAGAATAAATCAACGACTGAGGACTCAACGTGAATGTGAAAATATACTGACATAAGTAATAAATATCTGCATACATGTATTTCCAAATCTCGGAAATGTAATTTTTTTTTCTCATTCGATTTTAACAAAGCACTTCAGAACTTCTTTGTTAAATCGAATAAGAAAAAACCTTCTGAATACCTTGTCATGGGCAACTATTGTAGTGCAAATTTGTAAGCATGCAATTTGAGTTCATTTTATAATCGACGGAAAACAGAGTATTCCGTTTAGTTTTTGGTGCCAACGATCAAGAACATACAGCAGTGTGAGACTTCGAGACTCTTGGTGGCGGCAAACATACCGTTACAGTTACCAGTTCTTAGCATGTGTGCGTTCTGAGCATGTGTGCATAGTTCCCTGAGTGTGCGCAATACAGGTATGTCTGCTGCCACCAGCGCCTCAAAGTTTCCCATTGAAGTTAAAACAGTGAATACACTAATTATGATTACCAGCAAAAAGCATTTAGATTCACTCAAGCTTTGATCAAGAACATTTGGGCAGATGAATTCATATGAACGCAAACATTTGGGGCACATTTTCCTTATTTAGGAAAATTTGAAATTTTATTTGAAAATCAAGGTGAAACCCATATTTATCACAGGGTAGTAAGGAGTGCCTGTCACTTCACTACAGCCTTTTGAAAAGCGGATTCTTGCAGTGTACGACTCATGTTTTATCGTCTTTCTTTAATGTAATTTTTAAAAGCCAGGTGTTCGAAGTGTATGCGTAATGTTTAAAAGTGAACAATATTAAACCTGGTGGTGACAGTAACTCTATTTTAAAGTATGTTGATGACTTATCCACTGTTGAGTGTCGTTGTTTTTACACATCCTAGTGTGCATAATTCGGTTGACAAGTTAGCTGTACATTTTTAGTTGGTGTGGACAAAACAATACATGAAGTTAAATCATTGCAAGTGTTGTCAGATGAATGTCAGTTTGTCCCTTTTAATTGTGTTTTTTCTTGGTTTCTCTCAAATAATTTGCAACCCGAGATTTATTAGTAGTTTCTTTGTTATTGCAATAAAGATGTTACTGGATGTTTTGTAATTAGATTATGGGTGGAGTTTGAAGACAGGTCCAATTCTTCACCATTCCATCGTCAAGCAAACGGAGTGAACTATTGTGGCTACATGGTGTCCTGTAGAAAGCCACACTCCTTATACATGCATAGTTAAACACTCCGGGGGCATCCTACCTGTATTACAACAACGCTGAATCACCAACGCTTCACTCTATACATGTAGAAAATGCTTTCTTAAAAGAAGGATTCTTTATATTCCCAAAACTGCCACATCTATATTTCAAATTGAAATTTTGAGGGCAGCATATATCAACCCTTATTAACCCTCAACCTGACTGGGCACGATCATATACTGCATTTCGTAAGACTAAGGTTGAACAATCTCCAGTTGTGCGTTGAATGTCCGCATTTTACAAAATCAGTCAGCTGTCAATATGCGACTTTACACGTGATACTACGGCGGGCCTGTGTACACCGTATTAAACAGACACATGGCCTACAGATAGTGGCTGTGCGGTTTATTTATGATATGGTTCCAGGTAGGCTTCAAGGAAACCATTACTGTTTATCAAACTGTTGATGGGGAAAGAAACTCGTTTGAGATTACCGAATACCTTGTGTCATTTAAATCATTTGTCATTAATACAGACAACCGTAGGCCTACTCTGATAACCATTTTGTTTCATTTTTCAGCAATTTTTGAAATCTAAGGAAACGTTTCAAGGAGAATTTGCTTTGCAGCAAACCATTTGTGTTTTAATGTTAATATTAATGTCAGTGAGAAACTTCATTGAGTCACATCAATGTAAGTCCTAATCACATCATGTAAATCAGATGAGGTTATCTTCAGCAAACTATAGCTTGGTTTTCTTGTATCAGATCATTATTTACATAAGTGCCTGATTGATCGTAGGGAACCACCGCTGTTGAGCAGAAACTTGCAAATTCATATTATGAATACTGAATTTCACTAAAATGTAGGTTTAATACGTTTGCCCAGCATTAAAATGACATCCGTTTAATAGAGTTTTAAATTTGGACCTTTCGTGTTCCTCAATTTCGCCTATGTACTGGGACTGACCCTACTGTGAATTCATAGAAAAAAAAGCATGTGTCGGAGAGTGGAACGTCATGTTCTCAAGCGTGCTTTATCGAACATACATATTAACATGTACGTCATTTCATGACCGATATAGGTATCTGTTCCGTGCATCGTTATCAAACAGCCATGTGCACCCAATTCCATCCACCAGCCAGGACTCGACCCAGATGCTCAAGCCTTTTGTGCCCATGAACAGCTTGTACCCATGGTCAACCCAACAACCCAGATTAAGTTATTTCCACCAGCAAGAGCACCTGTACGAAAAGCCCAAGTGCTAACTCGACAACTTCAAACTCCGTTCATCTTGCCAGCCTCTTCACAAGTAGACCAGCCCACTGCCGTTTCCCATCACTTAAGCAACGAGCAGCCTCAAGCTCCTTGAAGACGTCTCTTGACCCCTCCTCTCAGAACAGCATATCCAGAGATGAATGTACGACCACATGGATGTACTTGTTAACTCCTTCCAAGTTCCAGCCAAGATTGCAGAACCATTCACGCGTTTGCGAGCAAACTATCCGATACCGATGCCGGAACCTGTGGTGAGGTTTAAGTCCGCCAGATCTACCAGTGGAAAAGTAGAACTTCTGACAAGCGTCTGAACGTCTACTGGGAACAGTAGTGAATGAGTTTTTTCCTACATGAAATCATATAGTTAAGGAAGATGTAAACGGGAACTTTAAGACTTACATGTAACACCCTCCCTTACATACCGGTAGGTAATCAACATCAATAAGATTCAGCACCCTACCCGTGGAACCTTTATTATAGCCGAAATGGCTGCCATTGAAAGCAATGCTCTATTTTAGTGTCAACTACACCAACTGTGCCACGCAGCGAGGCTGGAACAAATTTTTCTTCAACGTTTAAAATAGCTTTGTACATTTTATTTTTCCTTTGAAATTTTCTCGTTCCATTTTATTTGAGTATACATGTTAAATCACAATCACAATTCGTTTTGACATTCTCTTTATTTGGGAATACAAAACCTTTATGTACAGTTCTTTCTCAGTACAAATAATGCTTCAGTGAGATGAAGATGTTCAGAAGGCCTCACAGTACCATTTGGATTTTAGGTTTAGCCCGAAGCTTAGTATGCCAACAATGTCCTACATAAACACTGCTAACCCTGACCTGAGACATGAAGTCCAATTTTCTCTAAAATTGACATTAAGGCGAATCTCGTATCGATAATGCCCTTGATCTGTATGTTTGAAAAGTGTACTATCAAAGTGGTCAACCGTTTTCTCTTCAAAGTATGCAGACCTATCAAACGGTTGTAAAAATGTCCCTGAACCCGTCTCGCAGGTCAGCGTAATTTCACACTACCTGGTCAGCACCATCAATATTGCAACTGTTGCGATCACAATGCTACTGCTTTATATTAAATTGGACAGTGAGGTCAAGGGAAACCTAAAGTTGTCCGCCTTTGGTGAAACATGTCCACACAACCTGCCAGTTATTATTGGTGCAAATAACACTTCCTGTAGCTTATCGTACACAATTGGTCAACGTTTTAAGACATTACTAGCCACCAAGTCCACACCCAGTCATAGACATACGTAATGAGTCAATATCTTAACAACCTCGGAAAATACTGGGTACAGTATGCCGTTGGTGGTGATGTTGACACGATTTACTGTTATGAAGGCGACCAGTTTTAATTTAATGGTTCTCATTTCCGAATGACCCTAATTTTTGCTCGCAATCAAAGAACTACTTTTTATGCCGCCAAACCTGTCTGCATCTTCTTACCAAAAGAAATTGACGTAAAGGACACTCACTAATTTTCCGGACGATTTGAGCAATAATGTCCAATATCACATATCACTTGCACATATTTGCAGAAAAGCCAAAAGGTCAACTGTCTTAGCCCCCACACCTTCCAAAATATGCATTCTTGTTCCAAGTTGTGCTCAAAGACGCATATGGAGCGTCAAAAGTGGACAACCCCATTTTCTCATTTTCGGCTAGTACATTTTCGGGAACATTTTTCGAAGACTTCTTTAAGTAAATTCCCAATTTTTGCTAGCAGAAAATTGAGTTTTTGAAAATGCTTTACACAAATTCCCCAAACCCGAAAATCTACTAGCAATAAATGAGAAAATGGGGTTGTCCACTTTTGAAGCATGACGGTAATTTTGCCAGTGGGAATTTGAAGTTTTTAGTTCATACGTTCACCCAAGATGGTTGGGAATGAATTCGTTGGTAGAACAATGGACAACACAGGGCTTGATCAATTTGAATGGCAAACGTTGATTGATGGCTACATTATGTATTTTGAAAACTTGGTTAAAGTCAGGAAATTCATACTAACAGATTTTTTAAATAGTTTTCTTCACTTAATTAACAATTCTGGAAATACAGATTATTCAGAAAAAATATAATTATTTATAGAACACTTTGCATCATCTCATATGCGAACACTCGACAAGCAATTTCTTTATCTAAGCCAAATATGTGAGAACCATAGAATTAAAAGCGACAATTAAGAAAGCTTGTGCACACACGAATAAAGCTAGGCAATTGCTCAAACGGTAAATTTATATAGAGCGAGTAATAGCATTCAGTAATTATTCAACACGTCTTAGCAAAAACAACTGGGTAAGTGGGACAGCACTCAGATGAAGATGCGGACATAGTATACCAGCGACCTTATTCATGAGAGTGAGATGAAGCCTTAGGCACTTTGAGAAATACAGGCACGTGGAAAGTGAAAACTAAAAATAAATTGAATTAAATGCTAAATCGAATTCCAACGATTTGAGTGATGAATTACGAAGAGCCCCACTTAGGCTTTTAGTGTAGGTGGAATAACTTAGTCACATTGAGTTTATTTTCAAGTGGTTAAATAACTCGACTACTAATGCATTTTATTTGAATATTTAAGAATTTTATAGTCAATACCGAGTTGAGCAGTTATAGTCTTGAAAGGTAAGTGTGCCAGCTTACCAAAATCTACCCCAAGCGCTACTGTTAACTTTGATGTAGTATGACGAGCATCGGATGTTTTCATTGTTACCAAGTGAATTATTAAACGCTCACAGTTAAAAACATTTGTCTCCTGTGTCTCTGTTCAGAATTCATGATTCAAAAGCCGAAGTATATTTGTATTATTTTAAGACCCGAGTTTCATTTTTGGTTTTCAAGTTGCACGATAATACGCCGTTAGTGTTGGCCCTTACGTTCTCAGCACTTGACGTGAAAGACGACTTCCGCCTTATTCACCCGTTAACACTTTCAAATTTGCCCTATTAAAGGGAAAAGTTCTAAAATGGCAAAATGGCTACTAAATTGAAATGAATTCAATAATAGACCCCTATCGCTCCTTGGGTGTCATTTGAAAACAATATTAATTTAGTTTGACCAGGGAAAATTCAATTTTTCTATAATGTGAAGATGTACACAGCCATTTTAGTCTTCTATAAACACAATAGGTGTGTAATAAAGGGATAATACCTTTAAAGACAAACTAATATTCAAGAAAGGGATAAATTTTCACACCCTGCTTCGTCTCCTGATGCATGTGAAGAATTAGCCGTAACTACAAAAGGTTTTGTCTTTCTTAACTTTAGTCCTTTAAGGTTTTCCCCTCAGTATATTGACATACCTATAAAGCAAGACAGTACTCAGCCTGGAAAGTAAACGAGTAACCGGCGCAATTATGGTTAGGCTTGAATTTATCAGTTATAACAAAGACATGTGTTATTAACAATCAAATAGTGTTTCGAGTTGTCGGTCTCCAAAATTAAACCCACAATGAATATTTACCACGTTCCTCTCTGAAGGAAAACAAAAATCACGCTGATGATGAAAAAAAGTAAAAATCAGTTTATGTTGTCCTGAAACATTTCAAGTTCAACATTCATTATGATTTAATTACAGCCAAATATCCGTCTGCTGGCGTGGACACGCGCACCTTAACGTAAAAATCATATGGACATTGTGTTCTATTGCTAAAATGATCTTCTCAAAATGAAGACCTGAAGAAGGCAAATTCAGCTGAGAAACAATGTCTTTTTGGAGTTGTAAAACTGTGGTTATCTTTTCTAACCTATTTCTTTCATTATTAGAAATAAGGCATTGATTGACTGGCATCAATACTGCTTGTTAGGCATCTCTTATGAGCATTGTCGATATGATAATGGAACAGTCAAATTAAAATCTTAGAAGACGGCAATCTGAACAGAAAACGTAACCTCGTGGTAAAACATCTTGCAGAACTCTGTTGCCACAAGCTTTCTTTCACAGAGTCCGCTTCCTGTCTCGTCGAATGTCGTCGTTGGCGAAGTCATCACCCTCATTATTACGCAGCATCTGGATCCACTTCTCCCGAGCATTTTTCAAATGTGTTAGCCAAATTTGCTGTAAATAAAAAGACAGTTGATTTAGTTATTATTAATTGTTACAGATTAGCTCTAAACTCTGCATTTGTACCAAAACCAAGTATTTAGAGAAAAATATGTTCCAGAATGCTTCATTTTACTATAGGGGTGTTTGCTTAGCAAATGTTTCCCAGCCTGATTTGTAAAAATAACCAAATTAATGGTCACGTTCATGGGCGTAAATTCCAGTTGGATGGTGAGTATAATACACGTTACAGATGCACATCTGCATTATGAACATGGCTCCAGTTTGTTTGCCTTACCCCCCCCCCTTGCGCTTTCCGAATTTTTATGACCTGGCAAGTCATTTCCCTCCCTCCAGTTCCCGATACAAATTTACGCCACTGTCCAGTTTACTTCACCAAATTGAAGCGAAATATCTCTCTGCTGCATGGTTGAAGTTCCCTTGATTCATATTACTTTTCAGGAGTTAAAATTTGATTCAGAAAAATTCATTTTGAATACATCCTATGTTCAAGTTATGCAATTTGGAGTGAGTGGTCGTTATCGATGGGTTGGTAAATATTTCGTATTTTCTGTTTCTTTTCTACATGTGCATTCAAATTAGTTCATTTTGCATAGCAATTAAAGGAAATGAAGACAAGACAAAAGGTTTACTTCGATTTCTTCTCCATTTTATTTTGTGGGTGGGGATTCATTTAAGTTTACTTTTAAGGATTTCAAACAACACATTTTAGACATTTAATTGATAGAAAACCAGAAATCTCTGTGAAGGGATAGAGGGGATTGCTGTGAATCATTTCTGGCATTTGAGCTGCAGTGCCTGCATCTATATTAGGGTATGTGCATGACTCATTAGTAGACAGTTTTCCCAGCTATCAGACACCTTTACTGCAACTGACCCGGCCGTTGATTTGCTTTTGCCAAAACCATCTGCAAGTTCAAGGTAGCCTTCAGGTGTTGTCTTTGAACATTTTGATCAAAGGTGTTCGGCCTAAGCTGCCAGTGCTATGTTGGTCTGTCGCGTTTGAATATAGTAATCCGATTAGCACGGTTACCATAGCAATGGCAGAATCCTGAAAGGGACAGATCTCATATAGATGAACCTTCAATTTGGAAACAAAAAGCCAGCTCATTTCAACAGAACACATAAAAAGTGTTTTACTGAATTTCGTTGCTTGCAGTTCACAGATTTTCTCCCAGTGGGCCTAATACTATAATACTAGAGAATTCGACAGACCAAACTTACGCAGTTGAAGGCTGCGACAAATTTTATGCCCCAATGCGTGCTTCTAATTCGAACTCAATAGTACAATTGCACGTTTTACATTTAAGCTGATCAATTATATTATCAATACCATTTTGTGTTCAAGATTTTAACCTTGCCATCCTGATATCTTTTTACCCATTCTATTTCTGTTATGGGCAGTCAAGGCTCCATTTTGCCATTCTTAGATTCAATCTCTGCTGTCTTTTTTCAAATGGTGCAATAAAAGTAAAAGTCTGTCTTTTGAGTCAAATGAAATCAAGTCAGGAGGGTTTTTAGTATTGCTCTTTACCGAGTGTACAGGAACTGTTTATTTTGTCATATATATTTCTGTTTATAATTACTTGGACCATTGTAGATGGCAAGTTTACAAATTTGTAAAAAAAAGTATAGGATCACCTTGTTTTTAAATTTAGCTTCTGGGCTTACACAGGCAAATACAAGTCAGAAAGCTCATAACACGGACTAATTTGAACTCGTGTGTGAAAAATATTGATTGAATCCTATATCAACCTCTAAGGTCTTTGAGGCATTTGGATGAACAAGGCGACTATTTGAAGAATGTTGAAATTACGTAATAGAATGACTTTGATTTCCGAATACTCATTATGAAGCAGCATTCATTTTTCAAACGAACTAAATGGGTCTCGACTTATATTTAACGATGTTTTGCTGAAATCTATTGCTGATCGAATTAATTTCGATCAGAGCGTGCATTCGAAATTCCCCAAAATTGTGATTCACCAACTATTATGTTGGCAAATCCACTAGATTGGTATGGAAAAGTATTTCTGCGTAAAGAAATTACACAGCTTTTCGTGCTTTAGTAAGCTACATTCATTTTTTTCACGGTGGAGCTCATACATTGAACATTTCGCAAGATTAATTAATTAACGCAAAACTCAGTGTAAAAAGGAGAAGATAATGTTGAGCTCCCGCCTATTTCAAACTTGTCATTCAAAGTTACAGACGGTTAACTTAAAATTCATGTCAGAAAAGACTCGATCGCGCAAATCATTCCAATTGATCATTGGTCGATCTTTACTAACATTGTCCATTCGATGTCGTCAGATTTCAATGGAATTCGTCTACTTGTATGTAATATACCGACTGAATTAGACTTTGTTCGATCGTTTTCAAGAATGTTTCAATCAAACTCTTCAGATGGTGTACCACCATCATTTTGCTTTATAACAAGAAAAGATCTACTTAACCCTTGTATGAAATGGAGACGAAGGGCTATTTTCATTGCCGATGTATAGGCCCTACTTTTTCCAGTTGGTGACGCATAAAAGTGTCGAAGAACTAAATGGGCGCACATTATAAGTATGAAAGAGATATTTTTTTTCAGGTTACCGACCTAAACAGTATAAATAATTATGATCAAAGTAGAAATGAACTGATGAAAACGTAAAAATACTCAAGAAAGTAAGTTATATACAATTATGTAGCGAATTAGAATGAAATTTATATAGCACTGACCGCAAAACAACGAAATTGATTGTTAGTCGTAAGCCAAAATAAGTATGAACGAAAAGTTTGAAATCTTCGAAAAAAAACCCTGTAGTTTAGGAAATACTCATAATGGTTCATAGGATGACCAAAAAAGATTTGATAAAGACGGTGTTGGAGAAAGATGCGCCGGGGATGGCTTCCTTTTTTTACGTGTTTAATGGCAGAATGGTAGAAAAATTTAAAGGATTTGGACACAAGTAGCTTCGGTTGTAATTTACTCAAATATTTGTTTGTTCACTTTAGTTATATTTACCTTGCTATTGTCGTCACTGGCTGCTAATGTGTAAGCTCCCGCAAACTGCTGGTATCTGCTGCTTTGTAGAAGGACAAATCCGTGTTTGAGTCCACTTGCTGCATTGTTGATAAAAATAAACATACGTGATACGTGAACCACAGTTGTGATCAGTCACATTTATGACCGACGTCGAGTATACATGTTAAGGAATGAGAGTACGAGTTACTTAATAGTCCATAGACTCGGAGTCATTCAATTTGCCCCTGGTTAGTAGAAGATTATTCTCTCCACAGTAGTAAACCACGGCGCCGCAGCATGCAGTTCTTGGCCCAACACTACCGTCTTAGACCAAGAGAGTAGTAGGCTATATGTAATTTATCTGGGCAATATCACGCACCTAACGTTCTAGTAAATGTACCCATTATTGCGCCCCAAACATTCCACTCACCTGCTGCCCGTTTACTTTCTATCTCAACCACAGAAACTCTGTCTAGGGGGATTGGCGGTCTGTAGACAGTGAACGAAAAGCCGTCCTTTTTACGCGGGACAGGGGGCGTGGCAGCGATGGTTACGCCGTCTGGAAGCGACTTTTTCTTGACGTTATTCTTTCGGATTTTACTGATAAGCAGCATGTCATCAAAGAGAAAGACATACATGTCCGAGGACTTTGTTCCATCTGTGGACGTTACATGAAAGGAACCTTTGTTACTTTCAAAAAGTAAGGACGTGACATTGAGCTTTAGTCTGTGAATCAAATTTGTCAAACAATCAATGCATTATTTTTCGTCAAGGAAATCGTAAGAAATACACATCCTACCGATCAATGTCAGAGGCCCCTCATGTAGAAGTGTCCGTTTTGTACTTGCCAGCAAATTACTTTTTGACATCTTGGCTACCACATCCTTCAAGAACTAAAGAAAAGAAAATCGATACTTAACTTCAACAGTGATAAAGATCACGGTAGGCGACTCCTCGTCAAATTGATCGCAAGAAAAAGGGTAAATTTAACCTATGGCCACTTCTTTTTTCTTTTGGCAGCACATCAATGTCACACTATGGCCCATTTTGTCATTTTGACCAGGCTTGACGAAACCTTCATCTCCAGATATTTCTTTGATTAATATTGCTCTCTCTTTTGCAATTGCGGAAGACCGGATCTCAAACTCTCTTTGAATTTTTTTGAAAGTCACATGTTATATTCTGGTTTCGTGGCACAGGAAAGCAAAAACACTTGCCATGGTGACTTTCGCCTTAGTGTGCAGTTTATTTACTACTTTGCAACCATAAATTGTTACTAAGGAAGAGGTCATCGTCATGACCTCAGCAGAGGTGACATGATGGTGATTCCCCCGGAACATTAGTCGCTCTCTGGTCCTCAGTTATCAGAGCGTGCAATGATGTCGTTTTAAAGGGACATGGTGTGAAAAAGTATTGTCATTGAACAAACTTTGCTGAAGGAACAACAAATTTTTTTGAGAAATAAATAAATTTTGTTAGGAGAACAACAAGCTTTATGTAGGGAACAACATATTTTGTTTAAGGGTGAACAGAAACAAAAGGAAGTGCGCCCTGAATCTGGTGAAGACCTGGGCACATCCATATTAAAACAGTGCGTACAAAAAATACTTGTCCCCAGTCGATGCCCTGAGCGGTATGGTCCATGAATGCACCGATCAAAAGAAGCGCCGATTCTCTGAATAGCGCAACACGTTAAAGACATGCATGGTTAGAACAATAATTATAGCTGGTGCATGGGCGAACACGTGGTGGTCGGAGGTGCTTGTAGCAGACGAGCTGTATTTACATTATGTGCCGGCAAGAAAGAAAGACAACCTTGTCACATGGCTAGTCACAGCCCCACAGGTACTTTTATCATTTTCTTATTTTTTCTTTCATTACAGTGTTAGTATTGCTAATTTTTTTCACAAAAATATGCAAACAAAGCTTTGCAATGTCCTTTGGGTGGGGTCCGTCGGAACATTGCGACAGTTATGACCAAGACTCTCATTTAACATCCATCTAAAAATTTAAGTAAATAAAAATAATGCTTACTGCAATCAAAATCACAAATCAAGATTGTTGGTCTTTTGTGCTAAAACGGCTGTAGGCCACATACACAAATGTATTCATTTCAAATTGTTCTGGCTATTTTCTGGCCAGCTTCCTTTTTTTCATGAATTCAATCGCTCCAATTAAAAAAATCAACCATGTTCAACCATTCCAAGCTAGGGTTTTAGGCATTCAGCCATATCCGCTCTCAGTATGGCTTACAACAATTATCTAAAATGTAGCCCGTTATAGTAAAATCTTTGAGGCAGATGAAAATTTTGAGGCTACTAGTGATGTGAGAACAAATTTCAGGTTAAAATATTTCACTTTCATAACGGAATAACCATCCACGGTTCAGTGAAAAATTCCGACTGCGAGGAAAATCTTACCTCTGGTACAGACACTTTGGGGTCAAGTTCTTCAACTTGGGGCCACGTTATCATTTGCTGCAACTCTCGCAATCTCTCGAAGTTTCCTAGCCATTTAACCTTGCCATCTAGTTCATCTGGGGATGATCAAAATCAAAGTCCTTGATAATAAATCATACAGTATCCAGTTCGTAAGTGTGACATCACTTCAGTTTAAACTACACCCTCTGAGCATCTACTGCACATAGAGCTACTTGCTTTGATTGCTGTTCAGCTATCGTCCAATAGAAGCCTGCAATTTGTGGCGCGTCCGCGTGTATGACAATACGAACCGGACTGAGTTTTGAAGTGTAACGTTACTGTGAACCAGCTGAACGTGCAGTGCAAACAAATTAATGGGTGCGTTCGATTAGCTTACACGTGTAATTCAAACTTACGCAGAGCGTTCGTTTAGCCATCACGTGATCCTTGTGCCTGCCCTGGTGTCAGCCACCACTACCCCGGCTGGCGAGCGGGTCTCTGGAGGCTGCCCAAGTGTAATGACGTCACGGATGGACTGTTCGTGTATGGACGTACATGATGGAACGTGGCGGGGACTTGACCTTTTTCCCAGAATGCCTTGGCGAGTACGTACTCTGCAGCGTTCGATTTTTTCGATCATTTCGAGGCTTCCCTTGGTGTAACACTGGTTTATTCAGGGAAGCTAATCGAACGCACCCATTGAAGCATGCGCGCATGTTGGTTCAAGCGCTGGTAGTCGTGCTAATGCAATTTATAGCCATAATTGTGCGCGTAACGCATTCATTTCGATACTCAACCACCCTCACCGGCGAAAGAAAGACAGGCTGGTGCGAAGTTTTCCAACCGGGTTCTTGCACGCATTCGGCGTGCAGCCAAAGACCATACATTCCAGAATGCATTCATTGCGCGTGCTCAGCGTGCGCAGCGTGCTCAGTGTCAAACGTGCCTAACTTTGCGCGCCTATGCTGTGAGTGTGCACCATTGATCTCCATTTTGTAGACTGGATAGGAAAACGCGCATTGTTTATGTACAAACAATGGCCAAACAATGGGGGCGCTTCAGGAGGGTAATGCGATGCTGTATGCTGTGCATTTCTGGTCAACATAACCTTTTTCTCATGGGATGATGGCTAAGCCCTCGGTCTCCCTCCTGAAAACAAGCGTACGTATTTCAAAAGCCGCACGCTCGTGCCTACGTATTCTCTAGCACGTAACACACGCGTAAATCTACGTCGCGTTAACACACTGACTAAAGGCCTGTCCCAAATATTAGGATATTTAAATTATACAATACCAGGGGTAAGATCGCGCAAGGCACGGTGGGAACCAACATGGCGCAGCAACACCGTACCCATGGAAACGAGGTTGGCCTTGCACGAACCTCGACTCAGTGGGCTGCGTGGTTTTCCTTCACTAGCCCTTGGTCGTGTAGAATTCGAAAATGACGCTGACTGGCCATTCAGAATGAATATACATAAACGTTAAGTCGGTCTATGTGCAGTTTACGTGCGGTGGGCGTGGTTTAAACTGAAGTGACGTCACATTTACGAACCGGATACGCGCAAGACTGGCGGTCTATGCGTTCATATGTCGGTGGGTCACAGCCATTGATCTCAATTATATAATGGAGATCAATGGTCACAGCTAACGACTCGCAGGGCACTGTGAGTAAATTTCTGCCAGGTGCGCGAGCTCGCTCACTATGTTACACAAGAGGCTGGTATCAATTCGATATTTGTTCTTTTTCTCCCTCATTACTGAAAATATTCTCATTACACTTTATTCGTTCATCCAACATTGATCAAAATAACCAATGCTTTGAAATATATCGCAAAAAGACACTTGATCAATGATACTTAGTGAGAAGATAAAGTACAACACTGTGATTGTCCCGAGGCCATGTTTTTATCATATAGCCGACACTTTGCATCGTACCTAAGCATTGCCATTGCGAACCAAAAAATATAATTAAAATTTGCTTAGAGGAAGTGATAACCTCGGGGTCACAGGTCGTGTACAATGCAGCCAGTTACAGTGTAAAGCCATCAGCCCTTCCTACTGGCCCTGTTCGGGCGCTGGGCGACGCGCCAAGTACCAAAGGACTGTAAATTTCATTGAAAAGCACGCCCTCTTTTTGTTCCCGCTCGGAGCGGACACACATGTACATACAATCTGGATGTCTAGTGTGGAATCCTTGATGGATAGGACACGGTTGATTGACGAAGAATGATCCATTCGTAATTTGATGGAAAGAGCAAACGTGTAGTTGGCAGAAAACAACATAAATCTTAAAACAAGAATCCCCGAACTGATTTTGTTTCGCATAATCAGGTATCAAGACCCGTTCTAAACATCCATTTGCTGCCTTTTCTAATTCCAATAATTGCTCCTAATTTAAATTAGGCATGACAAAGAGTCGATATCTGAGCAACTGCCGGCTTTCTTCTTAACATTTAACAGGATTGGCTGCTCAATTTGAAAAACAGTTCAATGACCGATTTTGATGATCATCTTTATAATCATCTTTGCATCTTTATTGTTGAGACAGTAGAAGCACATATTCCCGGTCATTATGATCAGCAAGTCTGTAGGCGAGCTATGCTTTGAAGAAATTGAGATTCTTTTTACACTGTCTCGCTCCAGAATCGCTTCTTTCATCACAATAGATTGATTAAAGGCAGCCCTTGAAACCCAGAATGCTTTATTGAATCATTTCTGATTTTATAAGCATCATATTTTCAAGCCACTTGCTTTTCTTAGCTAACTGTCAACACGATCGAAATGTTGAAAGATTTTCTCAAGAGGAGCAGCAGATCAATAAAATTAAAATGGGAACTCTAAAAACCCATCCATAAATAAACCGTGGAAAGAGACGACAGAATTTGCCACAGTGCACTTTTTACCCTGTCCTGGGCCGTCATTTCAACGGTTAAATTGTTTTCAACAGAAAATTTGAATTTAGGAAACTGGATGCAACTTGTAATGAACCAAAGTAAACATAGAAGTTTGACGTTTAAAGGTAGCCTTGTAAAAAATACATCAGACAGTGCATCCGGGAAGACTATAAACAAAACAGTATCTGAAATAAACATAACCCACGACTTAGAGCATCTTGGATGTTGTTCTTCACTCCTAAAAAGATTGGTTTAAACAATCAAAAAGTGGTTAAAATAACCAATAACTGAACGATTTGGGTCAACCATGTACACACATCTACCCAATTATTGGTTATTTAAATCAGTTTGTTTTCAGGGTGTTAGTTTCAGCTCGAACCATTTACACAAGGATGTGCAACTTCAATTCAGGGCTTGTTCAATGCGTGTTACTGCCGGCAAAGTATTAAAGGAGAGTTACATTAACATAACACCTCCAGCCATGACAGTGCAAGACAGTGTCTTCGATGAACAATGGCGAGGTGACCCACGCAAAGCTGCATCAAAATCACATCTACTCCTCGCGAGAAGGAGTGCTTAAAGTCATGTGCTATTAGATTGTGTAAACATACCTTTCCGCCATTTCGTTTGCTTTGACTGTTTTAATGTTTTAAGTCAGAATGTACGGTAACCTTTCATATAGTATGATACCCAAGGTATTTTTAATATCTTTTATATTCTGAGAAAAAGTGTACCAAAAGTTGCCTTTTTCAAAGGAGATTTGAAATGACATATATCATCAAAAATATACGTCGAAACAGTGAAATAAGGCATCGTGGAAGTAACATTTCAGAAACATTCGAGCAAGGGGTGACCAAAATATTTACAAAGTATATGCCACTTGATACTACTGTTAGATATTTTCTCTGGCAGTGACAAAAAATGCGTCCATGCATGTGGTTTTTTTATCTTTTAAAAATAATTTGAGCTCATTGATAAGTCGAAAACACACCAAAGATGTCTTCGACTGTGCAACTATGTCTTAAAAAAAGAATGAAATAATAACATGGAGCCACTTTTGAGAAAATGCACATGGTTTATGAATATTTGGTTATAAAGGTCCACGGCAGTCAATACTAACTTGTGAATTCAAAATGACGACCTCAATTACGCGTGTTCAAAAGATTACTCTGCAACTAATACCGATACGTTTCATATCAAAAGATAAGAAAGATCAAAATTTCTCGATTTATTTCCTTCCTCTTTGAAAGTGATAAATGAAGAAAACTAGTTCGTCAAAAAATGAATAAATATTGAAACCTATGAACAACGCGTGTTACGTGGTTGCAAGTTCTCTCAAGAAAAGTCGAGAACAATCCATAACAGGCATGGAACTGAGATCGTACGTGTTTTTGCACTAGAGCCACTCGCACTTGCACACCCCTGTTTCAATGGTCCGTAGTTTCAGTGGCAACTGCAAGGTTCGTAGAAAACGTGTGCTAGTGCATTATCTGCGTTTGTATTCTATAAACGACACGTCAACAAAGCCGATATGTAAAAGACCTCAACGCATAATCAGTCAATGAGCGTTTCATTTTGCTCTAGCTGGGCAAACAACAAAGGCAAATTTGCCGTGCCTTTTTTTTAATCGGGATTTATCGGTACCCAATGCGCGTTGTATTTAAAAGCACATATTCATTTGATCTGATTTCGAATGTTCTACAATCACGCACACAGCACTCACGACGGCGTCAAATTTTCTCCTTGCAGAGAATGTGAAGCTAGCCCTCTAGTAATAATTAATGAGCATGTTTGTTCCACACGGATGTGGGTCTCGATCAGTGATCCCAAAACTGGTTAGCTCTATCATTAGGCGGGTTCTGGCGTCCGTGAACCAGCGTCGGATCACTGATCGCGATCCGGGTCTGCGTGATACAAACAGGCCTAGTAGCTCTATTTGCATTACGCACTGATGTGCAGAATATGCATTAATGATGAAGTAGCCGATTCAACATCTAAAGAATGATACTTTTGTTAGCTGGAAATGTTACGCAACTTTGTTTCGTCAGAAACATGTTTTCATTGCTAACATTCTCAAAACTCTCTCTATAGTATACTGCAAGCAGATGAAAACCGCATCATATAATGATATCCAATAACACTGAAAGCTCGCAAAGTATGCGACATCGGCTGAAGCAGTGTAAGGGAATCCCCTTAAATTTTATCGTTTCACGTCTAATTAAATCTAGTGCGGCAAATTCCATGACGGGTGTAGAATATCATCTCAAATACCTCATAAACAAGGTTGATGGGTATTCTACCATATTTTTCATGCATTTGATGAATGTTTTGAACGGTAAACATAAATTACGCCGAAATACGACGAAGAAGTTTATACTATTTTGTTGACAAGTTGTTTGAATACTGACAATCAACACTGATTAATACAAGGAACAAAATGACTGCAATGATTGTAACGAATATCTAACAGAAAATCTGCAGTATTCACTGGTGTTGAAATGAGTTATGAGGAGCCTCCTTGAACATTTTTTTGAAATGTATGTTTTACTGCTTTTGACTTCAGTTGTTAAACAGGGAGTTATGTTGTCGGCAATCAACCTGATTTCCACATGAAAATACAGGTAATTTTGGGTTTTGTTTGTTTGTATGTTTGTTTTTATTTCCTTTTTAACCCGTAACCCTACTTCTTTTATCGACAGACATATGGCAACATAGTGCCTTGCATTTTAGCCACTGGTAAAAGATTTATCGTGGCGAATATGTCAAAACACAAAGCACAGACACAAAAAGGGGGGGGGGTAAAAGGAACCTAGACAATTGGGTGCTGGTGTTACTTGTTCAGTTGTACTATCATCATGGAGGCGGAAATCGAATATATCTTTCGCTTTTTAAAACCGCAACACCAATTAGATTATCTAGCATTTTATTTTGTTGATTCACATTTTGAGCTTACTCCATGCAGCTGCCATTCTACCAAGAGGTTTTACTGTACAATAAAATTATTTAAATGGATTTAGTCATTTTAGTATGGACAATGTTCACCGTAATTTGTGAACCAGTTTCTGCAATACACAACCACAGAGGAGGCTGCAGGACTCCATGCTATACAACTGTCATAGTCTATCAAACTCGTGCTTGGGCTCCAGGGAAATAAGGCACTTATCAAATTCATTATAATGATGATTCTATGCTAGGTCGCACTTAGCCATGGCTAACACGGGAATCTAGCTAACAGCTGTTCACATTTTTGGGATAGAAGATGTTGCCATGTTGGCTTAATTTGAGGCTAAAAAAGAGTTCTTTGTGTTCCGAGTTTTTGGTTGGGGGAGGGGGTTAAAGGGATGTCATCTCACTGATCCAATCGTAGGCTAATAATTCGATTTTTGACAACAAAAAATCTTTACTTCCTAAACGTGCTATAGAAGAATAAAACATTTTTTACCGACATTTGCGAAATATTACCACAGCGTAGTTTTAGAGATGAGTTTTTGTTTCTAAGAAACACCATGAAACTATTTACAGTAGCCTACTTAACCATAACATTTGCCTGGTCATCAACTTTATTGTGTCATTTTTCGATAACGACCAACTCCTTGATAACAAATGTGCCAAATGTACTATTTGAACTTTCTGTATAAAGTGTGATTTGTGCAAAAAGTTTGGTTTCGAATAATCCCAATTGCAAAAATCGTGGCAACTCTTTTCTCATGCATGAATGAATTAACCCCCAAAGGGCATGTATCACCCATAGATTTGCTTAATTAAAGTGACCGGACATATGACCTCACAGTCGTAAAATAATTGAATGTGCTTGGTGAATTAACTCCAGTGGCAAATGGACAATTCATCATGCTTTGCTGAAAGACCGAGGTTGGATCTTCAAATACTCACTCAGTGCAACTTCGACAGCCTGCAGCGTTGCATTCAAGCTTGCGCGCTCGGTGAGGTCATTTGTGCGTTCCCGAATGTCTTTCAGCAGCAAGGGGTACTTGGTCACATGTTGAATTGGTGCCACCATGAGGTCAGCGAGTTGCAATCTTTTGCATCGTGTATCCTGTTCGCAAAGCTGATGGATCAAAATGAAATCTTCTTATTACATTTCACAGGTCTGACTTCATTAATTAAAAAAAATTCAGTGGGAACCTGGATAAGTCTCTCCGACCAACCGTGAAGTACATTTACAGATTTTTCCTTTACACCAACCACTCGTAACATTTTTGATTCATGAAATGCATTGCAACTATAACGTAATAGGGTGATTCTCTTTGCCTTTTTACATACACATATTGAAAACGCATGTAATTGACGTGACTGTGTGATTAAAGTGACTATGTAGCCAGTCGGTCAGGTCAGCTCAGGTCAGGTCAGGTAAGTTCAGGTCAAGTCGGTCGGTCGGTCTGTCGGTTGCCAGCCAGTCAATCAAATATGTAAGTAATAAACTTAGCCCATGCATAAAGAAGTACGATATATCTCTCAAATTAGTTGCAACTCGTCGTTGTAACCATAACTCATTACACCACTGACAGCTGCTAGAACAAATGAGCTGCGGTACTGGTTTTTATCCTCTATTGTAAATGGCCCTTGTTCCTGGAGTTTAAGAGAAACTTTGTATGCAATGGATGACACCCAGTGCAGGGTATGTATTTTTCACAACACATTAGCTATAAAAAGCCGTTTTCCTGTTACAAATCACATTACGAAAAGCTCAAACATAAATACCACATAAATTTAATTTAGCCTCAAAGCTTTAACAAAAACGCAACAGCAGTTTAAAAAAATTGTCTTAGCTTTTGATAACTACTTTTAGATGAAGAACCTTCCTCCTGCCAAGTAAATATGCCAGTATGTTGAACTTTCGCTCGCTATTGAATGGTTTGATCTCACCTTCACAAATTCAACAAAGTCCTCGTGCTTCTTGAGGTTTTCAATGTAGTGCAGAGCCGCGGAGTAATTCATGCAGTACCTCTGATAGGCTGGACACACGCGGTTACCGAACTATGTAGATATAAAAGTTACGAATTTTTCTTAAAGTAATGGCACCTAAGCATGTTTAGTCGGCTTGTGTTCTTTTTTATACAAATAAATGATAAAGGCTGATATATGTTCATGTTGAAATTACATCCCAAATGCCTATGTAAAACATCTCCTGACAGTTTTATCATAACAATAACAACAAACAGCACTCATAAAGCGCCTTTTATCTGTAAGCATTCAAAGGTGCTGGTCTGGGTGGGTCTCAGTTTTGTGTTTGGAATAAAAGACTAGTTAGAAAATAAACTTTTAATATGCTGTCAAAGGTGAGTAATGTCAGGTTCTTGTCTGATAAGTGATATAATCAGGAAGTGAGTTCCAAAGCCGTCTCCATCTGGCTAGTCTAGTCCGAGAAATAGCAAGACTTATATTGCTGGTAGAACTGAGACCTGACCTGGTAAAGTGGGGTAACAGCATGTTCTTCAATATGGAAGGGCTAAGCCATAAAAGGTCTTAAAGTGACGAGGGCAAGTTTTCTTGAAGTGCTTGTCAGTACCATATATTACAATTTTTGAATCTTACCATTGAAAAGGCAGAGACTACTGCATCTGTATGGCAAATTTCTGTTCTACTTGCTTTGGCCAGTAGCATTCGGATGAGATCCCGGCAAAAGGAGGCACTGACCTAATAAAGCAAGGTAATAACTCGGTGCTTTGAAATAAGAGTTTAAAACAAGGCCATGCAATTTCATCACGACGCTAAGATATTTGTGAAGGATACTTTATTATCGAGGCAACGTACCTGGCTCAGTTCGTCTAAATTGGCGAAAATTTTAGCAGGCTCGATGTACATCAGGTATCCCTCGCACTGCAAGGCGCGAAGAGGTTCCTGAAACACCTGGAAAGAAATGAACCAGACCGAGTATTACCTTGATGTTAGAGTAAGGAGAAATATACTGTTGGTCGATATGTCAGAAAAGAATTTATAAGCTCGACCAAACCCATTTTCCATAATAATGCAATTAATTTATGGGAACAGGGTAATGGAGCACCATGCAGTTAAGGCGATATCACACGACAACACTGATACTTTCCGACACTGAAATGTAATGAAGCGATAAGGATGACAGGTGAGAGTGCCCGGCAAGAAAAATTATGAAATAAAGTCTTTGCGGGAGGCTTTTTACAATAAGCCATGGCTTTGCAATATAGCATTGTTCATTGGTTGTGGTAAATAAGGATTATAGCTGGTGCAAATAATAAAAAATCATTCCAGTCCGGTAATCATAATTTATGTTAGGCTCAGAAATACATGAATGCTTTTTTGGGCAGCCCAACTAGCAGCAAGATGGAAAGTGATAAAAAGTTTGGCTTATGTCCACTCACTGCAGGTCACTTGTATGATCGTGACATTAAACAGTCTTCTAAATCCCAGTTTTGCAGTTAACAATGTTCATTATGTCATTAACCGTAAGGATGACCACTATTAATGCCAACTGAAACGTCTCGCAAAACTACCTGCATTTCGTTATCTTCAAAAGGAGAAATCTTACATTTTTTAAGACTAGGATGTGCTCAATGAGGTAGACGCATTCGCTGCGAAATAGTTCCCAGACCTTGTCCCTACGTTTCACCTCATCTTGTGGTGGGGAGTAAACCGTGTGGTTAGAGTTATTGTTTTCGATCTCCATGATTACATCCCGCCAATGCTTGTCCTAATGCATGTAAATGAAAGACATTGAAGAAGAGGGTAAAAAATATGCCGTGCTATCAGTTGTTAAAAGTACTTAGGCCTTCTTGAATACAACTACCAAGTTTGCTTACACCATGTTTTTATCTTGTTTATGTGGAAGTAAGGTTTTTTTTATTCCTGAAAAATCTGCTTTGGTTACTCATCTTCAGCATTTGTTTCAAGCCTTAGTGAGTTCAGTGAGTCGTAGCCGTGGCAGGGACGTTGTAGTATCGTCCCCCGAATCTCTTGGTTCTCTCGTAACTTTCTTGCTCTTTTTATGTTATCAGCTGGTAAGCAGTCCTCATTTTTGTTCGTTTTTGTTGCATGCCCAGCGAGATGTTCAACAGTCAAAAGCCAGCAGGAGTCTGCGCTATAACCTATAACCCTATTACCTGACAGAATTACTGAGGAAAACAAAAGATGGTGATGGTGTACAATGCTGTAAATGATGCCATCTTGCCATTCATGAAAGAAATTAACATTCTAGGTACATGAAACTTAAAAAGATGTGACACATCTTTTAAACCTCCCCTTAGGCGGAAGGTCACGTCGGTGTTCTGGGTGAGTACCACTCTCGGACAAGGTGACAAGCTCATAAGCGAGAGATGATCATCCGCTGCCAATTGGGTGTCTGGGTTCTATCTCGGTGCTTGTTGGGCCCGCAATAGATCAGTTCATACAAACCATGTACGAAAGAATTACACACTAGATATCACTTATAAACTTCTAGTTTGTAAACGAATGCTTTTGTATGTGGATTTCTCTTTATGATATTGTTGAAAAAAACACCTAGGCCTAAATGCATACTGCATTAACAGATTAACTGCCAAGTAACACACAAGAAAACAGGCAAATTATAACTAGTTACAACCAGTAATAACTTGCACCATAATATTATTGAAGGAAAAGGTGTTTTACAGGAAGACAAAGTGCATCTGTCCAATGTTATTATTTCCATTTAAAATGTAGCAGCAGTTGATAAAAGCGTTCGACTAACGACATACTCACTTTATATGTTGAAAATTCCAAGTCATCCTGGTCCCGAATTTTAAAATTCGTAAAAACGGTAGTGATGTCATCAATCATACTCTTGTCTTTGTCTTTTCCCTAACGAGGAAAAATAATTCTGAGTAGATTTCGTACTAATTGAAAACAGGCATAAAGTGGTGAGTAATTTATGCAAAAAGTTGGCATGCATATGTCCAATGTGAACACTGGAGAAAAACTCTGGAATATGTGGGACAAGCGGTTTCCACGAACAGTAATTTGCCAGGTCGTGTTCTGTTGACATATGTGGAAATATTGTAGTTAGGGTGGATGCCTTTATTAAGGACACAGTGATTATTTGATATCATCGCAAACAATTCACTTTTCAGTTATGATTGATGAATCAACGATGCCACCAAGCTTGACGAACATCCTGGTAATCAGTTTCATGAATATAAATTGTATTTTATCGTGAATTTATGGAAGAATTTATGCGTTCCAAAATCTTGCACAATATATACTTCCATTAACATGATCATTTGCAAATGCCTGAATTTATCATTCATACTAAACCTCAGAATTTTTCAAAATTCTACTGAAATAATTGTGACATAACTAAATACATGTACTTCACTGTAACGGAAATTCCACTTGTTCTACTGGAACTTTTACCAAATGCTAAACTTTTTTGAATGAAAGTACAAAACAGAAAACAAATTCTTGCGACTTACACTACACAAGCAAATTTTTCTTTAAATGTCTAACTAGAAAGCATAAAGTTTGCTACAGAAACCCGTCAGTGCCAACATTTTGCTTTTTTTTAATTTTTTTTTTTTTGTTTAAATTTTATAATTTGTTGAAACTTTACGAAACGAAAGTTTGGCATTGCCGTACTTCATGTCTATAATGTACAAGACGGATTTGAGGTCATAGCGGAAGTGCCGTTTTCTTCGTCTTTGGTTTCATAAAGGCCGTGCAGTATATTTTTTAGAATTTGGCTTTTGGGGGGGGTTGTTTTGCTTTTGGGAGGGAATTTTTAAAATTATTATTATTGACTGGAGGGGGGAGTTTGGGGGTTTATTTTTTTTAATTTTTTTTTCATTTCCCCCTACCGAAGCCCGTTAGTGCCAATTTGAACCATGCAAATTTTATTGCGAAATAAAGCAATAATATTGCGAAAAAAAGCAATTTCTTTGCGAAATAATGCAATAGTTCTACGGACATTTGGGGCACGTTCGTACGGTTGCTCCGGTTAACAAGAATAGGATGCGTGCTCATTATACCCGGGTGCAGGAGTACACTCCCCCGTCGTTTATTCTCACTGACCCTTGGGTCGTACTCCAGCCGTTCGAACGCTCAGGAGTATCGTGTTAACACAAGTAGCTCGCTCGAACGCATCCCCTGCGCCTGCTCTTGTATGAAAAGAGCGACATCAACAATCCATGTCGTGGTCTTTGTCATGGACAATCCGTAATAGGCCAGATGTCGTTTTAGGGTCGTCAAACTTACGATGATACCATGATTTACTGCCAAAAACCACAACATGTGATCATAACTCAAACCAAGAGAGAAGTAGAAGCTCACGAGTTTGCGTAATGCCATGGTTAGCTTTCCTCGATTACTGTTTCACGGGAAATCACCTGCACTGTTCACTCAAGGGTGTGTTTGCCCGGCTGGAGTGCGATCCGCTGGTCAGCGAGAGCCTACTCTCGCTAACGGGGGAGTACACTCCAGCTCCCAGGTGTAACGTGCACGCATGGTACTTTTATTAACTGGAGTAACGTGCCCCAAATGTCCGTAGAACTATTGCATTATTTCACAAAGAAATTGCGTTATTTCGCAATTAAAAATATACATGTATTTGCAAAGTTCAAATTGGCACAAATGGGCTTCCGTAGGGGTAAATGAAGAAAAAAGTGGAAAAAAAAAGAAATTAAAAAAAAATTGAAATTTTTACACACAAAAATTGGCACTGACGGGCGTTCGTAGTTTGTATTGGTAAACGTTCGATCAGTATTCGATTTTCTTTATCGAACTTGAATGTTTTTCATGGATGAGATTTTCATGGATGTCAACTACGCCTTGGTAATGGAATTAAACTGCATGTATGCGATACTTACAAATTTCTTCTTAAAGAGAGCATGCAGCTTCTTTTTGTTTTCTGTGGACAAAAGCATTGGTGAAATACGTAAGAATTTCTTTCTTTGAAAATGGAAAATAAAATAAACACTGGTGAGAGACAAGATTTCAAATTTCACGACAGTCATTTCGTTTAGTTAAACCTTTGCTTATTTTGGATATACATGTAGTATGTCAGTGCTTGTCCACTCATAAAAGATTTGATCTTTGCTGAACGGATAGCACGCAGAAAATAAAATTAAAAAACAGGTTTAACAGTAAAGGTTAGTGCAGGTTCTCTGAATCCGAACTGCTTACAGGGAGATTCATAATTTCTCCAGTTCTCAAACAAATCTACGTGAGTTCCCAAGAGGATATTTACCAGCACTGTCGTTATTGTCTTGCTCTAGATCGTTACTGTCAAAGCCTGCTGTTGCACTGGCTTCTATGAAATCTTGGAAGAGGCAAATAACAGGAAATTAAATATCATGTCAACAAATGAAATCCAACCAAAGCAGGTTGCGATCAGGTTTGATATTTGGCTTTGGGTTATTTTCTAAACTGACTAGGTAAAGAAGAGACATTAATTAAAAAATCAAATTAAACTTGGAATGTAGCTATGTATTTCACATGGCATTTTGTTTAAAAGTCTCCAGTTACAAATAAACATGCACAATCCCACTCACCATGTAAATGCACGGCAGCTACGGCTGGAAACAGATCAACAAAAATAGTACATGTTTTAGTACAGGACCTTTGACATATTGTGTATAACGTAAGGAGAAACTTACATAGATTTATACGGACTGAAATGTAAATTCTACGATATATTTGGTAAAAAAGAGGTTTCTTTGGTCTGTTTGAATGATTGATCGCAATTTTGATTAAAAAGGTAAAGAGAAGTAGCTATCACTACTTCAGCATCCTTTCAGAATGTCTTACACTAATACCTTAGGTCAAATAAATTTACTGCCCTCGTCAAGGCTACATGAGCTGAATCACAACCTGCTTGTGAGCTTCAGCCCCCCACCCCATATTCACAGTCAAAGAGGGAAAATCTCGACTCAAACAGTTAGAGCAATTATAGCAGACAAACTCCTTAATTTTAACGAAATAACTACAGTCGACTCCATTGTTAAAGGAAACCAAGGATAACGGTCCTAAAACAAACGGTAAAACAAATAAACTTGCCAATTCATTTAGTGTTCCCGAGATCAGGTTGAGATCAATAAACAATATTTTCCCAATGAAAGTTATTTTTAATTTACTCACATGCAAGCGTTGAGCTGGCTGTACTCATGATGCTACACCTATGTTCGTTTCCAAAGTTTGGTGGGAAGAGTAGGTCTCCATGATGAGGTGGTGAGTTTGTACCGCCCTGACCTGAATCATGCAAACAGCTGCGTGTAAAAAACGGTATTATTAAGAAATGGAGGAAACCTAAATCAAACAGCTTGAGTACTTGCCCAAGGACAGCAAAATTTGCATTTAGTGGAAACACGTGCTGATCAATGTAAGCACAGGTAGACCTAATTAAAACTCGACTTCTGCAGTTCTGATGTGAGACTGCACTGGGTTGAAGCTTTCAAGTTCGCTCTCTCGAGCGCAAATAATGGCCTGAATATTTCTTTCTAGCATACAAGGTTATCTAGTTTGATTGGATCATACAGGACAAGAATGTATTATCAGCGGCTACTGTGGTACTACGGGGAATAGGGGAGGAAGAAGACTGCAGAAATATCAGAGAGTTTCAGCAGAAACCCCGCCGCGCGCTCCGTAAACGTGAAGTCGAGATTTCGCTGCTGACGTCATCATTTTATGCGCACCAGTTTCGTGTTGTGACGGCCACGGGACACGTTTAGACATGAAAAGAAGTTCCACGTACAAATTGTGTTTATCTCGTGTTTAACATTTCTCTAGCATTTGTGTAAAAATACCAACTGACAGAGATTTTTCTGACGGTTCAAGTGCTGTAGGTTGTTAGCATGTGGAAAAGAGAGTAAAAGTAGGCCTACAGAAATCATCTTCTCCTACAAGCGTACTGATAACTGAAACTAATAATTCTATGGCGTACCTCGTACGTGAACGTATACGTGTCACTTTACAGGGACGGGCGCACGCGCGACTTCTGTCGAAACTTTTTATTTATTTAGAGAAGGCAAACGTGCGTGCATCGATGCGTTTTTTCTCGGGGATTGTCCTAAATTTTTAACAATTTCACGGTCTTGTGGGTGGAGGGGGTCGTAGGCTGTGTGCGACTTTTTCGTGAAAAATCAAGAAAAAGCAAGCAATACATGTAATCATCAGTTGCGCTCTGAGAGCTGGCTCCGATGGAGAGTAAACCCGCAAGGCTCGCATGCATATTGCATGTACATGTAGGGCCTACATGTAAAGTACTTTCTGGCCTACCAGCCGTGGCGCAGCTTGTTACATACACAGCATTGATGTCCAGTGCGGGCATTTTTCAGTGCAGCTTGAAAACAAAAATAAAAAAATAAAAATAAATAAATTCCTGTGTAAAAAGCATACTGGAACCATGCGATCGTTGTGCTGTGATTGGCTGTCCACAATATATCGATATACATACGTGTCAGTGAGACTCTTTTCAGCCGTCCCTGTGTCAGCGGATGTGGTGACTAACAATCCCCACTACAACGCGTGGTAGCATGAGTCTCATCGTAAATTTGCGGCTTCAATAAGGTTAGTAAATTTTCGTTTTCTCTGATAGAGAGCTTTGTGACAACTAGTGCGGGGCAAAGTCGTGCATTATCGAGCGGTTTTTACGTGCTCTACGTGCATCCTTTTGTACGAGATTTCATGGAGATTTCAAATAATTTTTGGACATAGGCCCTCGAGTGTGCATATTGTCAGCGCAACACAAGTGTGAACATTCTCCAAAGAAACTCTGATTTGGATTAAAATTTTGACAAGAGCGATCCTCACGTTACAAATCCGCGGAAATGGAAGTGGACGGAATACACCGTATAGACCCTATTCACGTGGAGGTCATTTTTTATCTCTTCCCCCAATCTGTTGTAAATATTGTCGCCAGACTGTTTTATACTTCCTAGCGTCCCAAGCCTCCCTTTTCATTAATTTTTGGAATCTGGCAAGGTACAATTCTATGTGTTCAATCATGAATTTGAAATTATTTATCGGAGTAGACAGGTGGACATTGGTCATGAAATATCATTTTATTGCTTCATTTGTACTCTCAACATTCAAGTATGAAGAGTTAACCTCGCCTTCAAATTCAATATGGCCGGCCCCGTGAATAAAGTCCATAGACGGGCAGGTGACTCAAATCCGCGCCCGGAAAATCCAAAAGCCTGGACATGTACGATGTGCATTTTTTGTAACAAAGAAAACGTGACAGAATCATTGGGAAAAGGGCCAACTCACTCCACAAACCTCAATAATGGATTTCTCGCGTGTTGATATATTTTGTGCGCGAAGAAGTGTTGACCCAATCCGCAGAGTTGGTGAAACCGATCATGGAGGAATATGCTTATTTTTTAAAAGTGCGATTGTTTAAATGAAAAATATAACTTTTGGAGTTTTAGTATACGGTTTGTGATTTCAGAGGTAGGTTGGTCTGACAGTGTACGTGAAGTCTAACCGATGAGCGCGAGTACACAGCGCGATACGCGAGCGGTACAGTATACGAGAATACTAAATAACCTTTGACATTATGGCGCATCGTTCCCAACGCGGTGTCCATTTTTACCCACATTTTTGTCCTGAAACTGGGGACTTGCACGACATCATCGTTGATGAGAAAAACATTTCTTTATCAATAATGTGTCTAAACAGTGTTTTTCATATTGAACCCTTTATTTCTAAAACGTGTATGTTTAATAGTGGGCACTTTCTAACAATGCAGTGCCTACAGTAGTTTGCCGATATTTCAGGATAACAATAGAAAAATGTTGATGAGTACTAATTAGGGGAGGGAGGGGGCCTTGAAAAACAGTACTCTGTGTAGTACTGTGAAAATGTTGAACATTTTGGACGACCCCTTGCCCAGAAACGCCAACTCTCTAAAGCATGAATTACTTAACTTAAAACTGGCCACTAATGATTACCCATTCTCTTATAAAACTCCGTGATTCACCTTACATAGACTATCTCCCCTTCAGCACATTATTCGTGACCTAAATCTAATGACTGCAGAGTTTCTGCGAAAACACTATAGCTCATGTCAGGTTGTGATCCACTTGATTGCCAATATCTGAAAAACGACTAAACACTGAGGTATACGTATATGCTGTTAAGCCAGGGGAGAAATTGAAATCATATAACGACATAGCATGCAGTTAGATGAGGCAACAGACCGCTGCAGCAGTGCTACGCGAACAAGATATCCAGTTCAGGATAAAAGATGTTTAGATAATGTGTTCTTCTTCAAACGTTGTTAATTTTGCTTACTGGCCAGTTTTCCTACTTTTCCAACCCGTTCAATCGATTTAATTGAGACAGTGATGATGATAGACCTTCGGCTTCTCATTAATGACCTTCGACAATTAGAAAGAAACCTTTGTCTATCTTTACTTAACTTCAACTCAAGTAAGTGTATTCAGGACGTAAGAACTGTTCACTTATTATCATTACAGTCTGAAAAATTCACCATTTTGGTGCGTCCCTCCATGTTTCTGTATTTCTAGAATAAGAAATAACGTAAGTTTATTTTGTAAAAAATGAGACTGTAACACTACACTCTGGTACTAGTAGTCCATGGTTCTAAGACCTTTGCATTGCTTTTAGCCAGAATTAGAGGCTGCAGTATTTATTTGGTTTGTTTACGACTTCAAATGAATAAGCCACTTGCGAGTTAAATTTGAATAAAATCTGGTACACTATGTTATCCGATTGCACAGAGACGTAACAATTTGACTTCCTCAGACTAAAGACACTGTTGCTATACTTCGTGATTCGGGGCAAGCTTTTGCATAGCGAGCACCATCTCTGGAATGGACTGGTTCCTTTCTGCCGTTCTTATCCGGAGAACAGTGTATTGTTGCAAGGCGTGTCTTATGTAACTAAACAAAAGCTTGCCCCATATCACGAGGTATAGCAACAGTGGTCAGTATGGAGAATTCAAGCTGTTGTATTCATGTGAATTTGAAGAACTCAGTGTGCCAGATTTTATTCAAATTTAACTCGCAAATGGCTTATTGACAATGGTTTTCTGGAAATAGCGCCCTCTAACAGTGATGGTTCGTGAATCGTGAATGCGGAATAAACTACATACATGGGATCCTAGAACCAAGACTACGGTATTTATTGCTTCGTGCCACATCTTCAGCCGGTCTCCGCCGGGCAAGCAGGTGTACATATTAGTATCAGAGTTTGCATCTTTGGATGGATCGTGTGTCAAACCTCCAAACAGAATTTGTTGTGTGTTCGGTGTCCGGTAATAAGGAAATTGGAATTTGTCTTCAGGGATAAACGAGAGCTATAACTATAAATATACGGCAGGAGAAGAAATAGGGTAGGTCTTTGATTTCAATGCAATGTATGCCAAAGGAAATTCAAGAGTGAGGGTTCGGAACGAAAATTCATTGGTACTGGCCTAGCGTTAATATGCAAGTGTGTTGTCCGATCTAAATGATATGCTCGACATGTGTAAAGCGTCTATTATTTAAAATTTGTGACCCTATGGATATAAGTCAAACAAGGCTATTTTATTGGACATTCAGGTGTGTGTTGTAACGACAACACATGTAAGCTTGCCATTTATTAAAAAAGATGATATTGAATCCCAAATGGAATGCCACCACAAAAAAGACCGCCCTTGTTTCGACAATTCGCCAAATACTAACAGAGAGATGATTCTAACGCACTGACATATCATAAAGTAATTGTTGGACAGCATGATGGTGACTCGATGTCATTATGTACTGTATGTTTCCCGAAAGACGATTCAAACCCTTCAAAAATTATCGGAAATGAAGACAGTCTCAATTTTACTAATTCAACAAAGCTTAGTAGGATACAAGGGATAATCGTCATATGCAGGATTTAGCGGGAATTAATCATCATACATAGTCATAGAGATTGCTTATTGTGTACGGTACATAAATGCAACAATTAAGGTTGCCAACTTTCCAACCAGTGATGATTGCATTGTCTGTATTAGCCCTTTCTTTTCTACCGTCTCGCTGAGTATGTTGGCAATTCTAAGGTACCACTGCAATACTTCAATTTGAAATGGCCAGCTTCTACTGAAATGCCATGCCATACACCTACAGCATGTGCGTGCGGGGGACATTAGTGTTCGGTATTATCGAACGTTGAATAAACTATAAGGTTAATGAAAGCTTAAAAGTGATCATTTGTCGAGCTTCTCACCTTATGCCACTTCCGCCTCCATCCTCGTCTCCGCAGTCTGAGCTGTTTGGAGGAATTTGTGAGATGACAGCCCCTCGTCGCTGGTGGATTCTTGAAGTTGGTGGCAGCGATGACGGTTCATTGTCTTCAGTGTCACTACTACCAGAAACAATCTGGTGGTGGGAGGGGTGACAGAGGACAGCATCAGAAGAGACGCCCCTCGGCAAGAGGCGAAAGAGTGTTTCGCGCCTCATAATATAAAAACAACTCAAGACAATCCTGACCGACGTCGTGGAAGTCGATATCGGCATAGGGAAAGACTGCCCATTTAGGTTTACAGCATACTCTCTCGGAATAACAATCAACACAGAGAATAGATCCTCTTGCTTACGAACTCCATATTAATTCATGTCGTCTAAACTCTGATCAGATAGTAAAAATCGTCTTAATTCGACAGTAAGCAAATGTGCAGTTTCATTTGCTTTTGTGTACAGGCAGAAACGGAGAGAGCATTAGGTTATGTGTCATTAACAGCAGGACTATCACGTTGTTATGCTCATCATTATGAGAGGGCATCATCAGACACACACTAACATATCCATATACAGGCCATTACTACGCATTATGATTAGATGCTTATTACGCCTGCAACGGACCAATAGAGGTGGACGAAAGCCGTTATTGTCTCTCATGATATCAGGAAGTCCTGATGCGGATGAGAATTTGCTGAATCCTGAAAGGCTTATGAGCAGCACGCAACATGACATCCCGCGTTGCCTAGGAAGGTTGTACGTACAATCACATAGTCTGAAGTTCCCTTGAGGTTTCCTATCCAGTGGCGGATCCCACGTTACTCGAAAGGATCGTAATGGAAGGAACGATATTCTACTGCGATGCACTCGGTTTGACAAATTTGCTAAGGTGCATTCAGATACATGCAGCTGACAGTATTTGTAGCAAATATCCAAATGCGTTTTATCCCATAAACATTCTATTTTCGGCAGTTATTCATCTCGTTTCGCTTTAAAAAAAAATACCGAAAACCTGTTTATTATGTCAAGTCTAGAAAAATCTCAGCACCAATGTTTTCGGTTTCCAACAATCCAAACTACGCTTGCAATGCCGAGGTGAAAAAAGACTGCATTTAACAAGGAGTACATGTAGTTCTACACAGAAATAAGTGGCAAGTTTCCGACGCACACGTCTACTTAATGAACATTGCATTTCAAGAACACATCAGTTCATTGCAAATAATTGACAAAAGGAACACTGGCACAACATTATATTTAAGAGTTCTATGTGTTATAGTATTTGTCACTGAATAACATAATCAATAGAAAGATACCTCTCTCAAAGTGAATTACTTTCCAACAGGTTGCTTAATAGTACTGTTTCAAGTATTTTCATTGAAGGCATAAGGACTGGGATAATCTCTTTCAATGAACCTTTTTACAGTAATGCTTTGGCTTTTTAAAAATTATGTTCGTAAAATTGATTTACCGAGTTGTCTTTCTTGAATACCGCCTTACTTTGCAGAAACTCCGGTGACGGGACTCTTAAAGAACTACTCTCGCTGGTCAGAGAGTCCTGGGAACCTAACGTAGAAGAAAATCCATCATTTAAGAATACATATTTTAAAATAAAATAAAATAATAAAAAAAATAAATACAAAATAATAAAAAAAAAGAACAACGATGATGACGACGCCCGACACTATTCGTTGATTTTAATGTTGTAATAATATACGGGAGAAAATAACAGGTCATTCTATTAATGTAGGGCCCAGCGAGTGAAGTGAGTAGTTTTCCATAAATGATTTATTTAACAAAACAATATAAAGGAAGCTTGGAAGGTCTATATTATGAATTTTTCTGAGATAGACATTTTGTGGAAATGTCAACTCTTCTCTGACGAATAAAAACTATTTAACATCAACCACCATTTACTACTTTTACTAAAAACTATAGGCCTAAACTGTTCCATTTTTCACACACTGAGGGCGCTGTTGCTGTCACTCTAGAAAGACACTTCAGTTTCGGGAGTTATCTGTTTAAAGACAGATTTGACCAGCGGCTCACAGCCGCTCATGTACTTAAACCACGAATCATCCAAGAAATGAAACTTTATGAGAGCAAAGTATCCGAAAGTATTGTGCTGAAACAGTCGTAGCATGAAGGTTTCTGTTCAGAATGGCATCATATAGTAATACTTATGAATATAAAACTGGCATTTTGTGTAAAACCCAAAAGGCACAAAAGTATCATTAAAATGGGAAAAGGGGAATTTTATGTTGAATGGGATAGTGGTGCACTTTACGGGGACTGCGCTAAAATTACATCGCAAACGTTCATTCAAAAACATTTTTCAATTTTCTCTTAATAATTCTGGTAGCCACACATGCAAAAATGCTGTGTTGAATATGAGCAGTGTTAAACGGGACATGTAATAGGCCTATGGTATGACATTCTAAATATGTTCATGTGACTTTTAGCAAAATCTTTATCCATCTTTGTCAGGAATTTTCCGTGCGTAATATTAAGGCATACAGAAATATAAAATACTGACATTGAAGATATGCTGTCTAACGAGCAGCTAGTAAGAAATTGCAGTTCACTTGCTTGGAACAAGCGATTCAACTGAAACAAGATTTTAGGAAAGGCAAAAACGAACCTGTAATTTTTGGATTGATTTATTCAGATCACCACTGAGCGTTTAACAGTCTCTGGATACAACTATCCGGATATGCATTCCACTCAAATAAACTATAACACTTTGCTATGACGAATGTCCCTATAATGATATCTAATAAAAGCAATAACTCTTACAACGGAGGGGAAAACTGCAGGAGGTTTTATTAATCCGGCCGAATGTGACAGTCACGCATTCATAGCACACGTTTTAAAGAACAAAGACCTCGATTTCAGCTGAAATGAACCAGGGTTAAACTAAACCTAACTAAAAAAAAGGAAAGAGAAAAGAAAGATAGGCTGTAAAGGACTTCAACTATATGTACCTGAGATCTCACGTTTCAACCCGATACGAATGCAGTCTAGTTGATCTTTAACCTCTGACAAAAGCACTGTAGACTTACCATTGCTGCTACTTCTGAGTGATTGTACATCATACGCAGGGTCATCGTGGTGAGTTACTATGACCTTCGGCCTTGATTTGAAGTGCAGTGAATTTTCAAATTCCTGGACAAAAAAAATTTATTCTGTAAGAAATACGAAAAAGATTGTTCTCATGCAGTACGCAAATCAAACGTCGACTTCAAACGACAACGTAACTTATAGCTCAGTTACTCGAACCGTGAATTTCTCACTGGCCTAGTTTTTAGACTGGGTATCCTGACAGGACTTCTACACATGAGTTTCTGATCAGTGTGTATCGACCTTGCACGATACACACCGCACGGGTCCACCTCTTCACCACCAGATGTTGGCCAAGCTTCAACACTGAATAATTCATTCCCAGCTTCAAAACACCGAATAAATATGTAGGTTTGATGAACCCAAACATACATGGTTTAGTGGAGCTGTCTGCTAATGACCAGTTGAGGTAAAATAACTTAATAATGGGCACCTTGCATGCTACATTGCACGCCGCTTCGCCCCATGGAATAGACCCTTCCATCTAACATCGCATGAAATCATTCGTGCCTCCGCATTCATAAAAATGTGTTGTGTTATACTATACCGACATAAATCCATGTCATCTGATCGGTGAATCGCTGATAACATGTCATAAGATTATCTGTTCTATTCCACAGTACCCGTTAAATAAAACTTCATTCCACTTGACCTGTCCCTATTGTTATAACCATTTAATTCCCAGTGAGAAATAGGAAAATGTTAGAGGGTAGCCAGTCTAACACTGCACAGTACTGCTAGCGGGTGGCGCAAACCGACCGATAAAATTACACAAAGACCGTTGTTCTAACAGAAGAGGATTTATGCAGCTATGGGAAAAATAATAAATGTTGCATATTCATGCAGTGAGAATTTCATTCAGCGACAGGTTAAATGTTCCATTCCACGAAGCTTGTATTTTAAGGGTGCTTTTCGAATTAGAGTGTAAGAAGTCAAGCAGCAGTTAGCTTTGGTGAATTTGAATTGACATTCTCTGGACACTCCTCCAGTACCACCATCCACAGAACGAAAGACACTATCACTAGTAGCTCTCCTAATGTCATAAATCTTATCTCTTGCAGGGTGTGCAGTGTTCAGTATGTTCATAGACAAAGCATTTCTATGGCCACAGATCCACGGTCAACACCAAATGACGAGATACCCCTGTGGGCCACCACTTCAACCTTCCTAACCATTCTATGTCTGACATGATCGTACAGGGCATAGAATCAATTGGACACCGTAAAGATGCTGCTTGCTTCAACAGGGAGAAGCTTTGGATCAAACGCCTTCGCACCATACAGCCCCATGGCTTGAACATCAAAGAGGAAAATGAACACTCTTTTCTTTCCCCCTCTTTTGTCTGCAGATTATACCCCCTCCCCACTTGGGGTCCAGTTCGTTCCACTGTATTTTTTCTTTGATCTTTTCCCTCCTTAACCCCCTTGTTGATCAGCCATGCCTTTCATACCCCCTGCCCCTATACCCCCTGCCCTTTTTATCCAGCCTGTAACCTTCCTTTACGTTTGTCCTCTTGCATTCACCCATGCTTGGTTGATTCCCTGTTTGCTTGTTTGTCCTATCCACTTATCATTTTGCCTTTGAGAAAGATTCTGCTGGGATCAAAACGTCAGGCCCTCCATATTTTGTGACATATAAATTTAGTTTTAACAAAATTCCATTAGTGTTACAGTTGGATTACTGGATATGTGCTGAATAAGCATCTTACCAACTTTTTTTATATTGCCATGTATATTCGAAAATATAGCGAAATGTACTGTAATTCATATACAATTTTAACAAATTCGCTAATGTAAAAAGCTTTGAAAGCTTGACATAAACACCAGAAAAAATAACTTATTTGGGTAACTGACGAAATATATGCATGATGCAATTTTTACCGCGCCACCTGCTGTCAAATGCAGCTCAGCATACACGCTGCCACCTAGCGAGTAGCGTCTGGTGCTGTTCAGTATTTGTAGATACATTTTCCTGTGATTAAAATATTAATTTCACGTCCAATATCACTCATAGTGAATCATTCAAGTATTTTCATTTCTTTCGGTATATGCATAGTTACATAGCACGACACACGATTTGAAGAAGTAAAGACATTGTACATGATGGTTTGGGAAACAAATTTAGCATGAATGTAATACTATATTTGATAGACGTTTGCTGAGGTCTGTTCTCAAAATATGGTTAATATTGGTATTACGATCTTCAAAGTATTTTGGATCATAATCCGGCTGTTCACCCTTAGCATCATATGGATAAAAATACATGTAGGCCTATGTGCTTAGCCGGCCTTAACTATTCGTTTAACAACACCGACTCAGGAGAATGGACGCAACTAATGCTCGAGCTGCAAAGCAATGTGTACTACATGACGTAGCACAGAACGCGATGAGCCAGTGATGCGCTAGCGTCCCTTGCAATCTCCTGTGGTGGGTCTTAACAAAAGTTAAAGACAAACAAAGCACACATTCATGCGTACCTTACGAGTCAGAAAGTCAAAACAAGGCCACAAATTATAAATTTCCAAATTTACTTCTTTTTTCCCCAAACACCCCCTAGATATGTTATGGTATGTACCTCTGCGAGCCGGTGCTTTATCAAGCGTTTAAGACCAACCACGTGACGGGCTCTTGACCAGTTTGAATGGCTTAACTGCATAAGGTGTTTTTGAAAAGGAGGATGTTATACACGTATAAGCAACTTAAGGATGAGGACTGAAGCAAACGAAGATGTTACTGTGTATTTGCGCGATGTGGAATTACTTGATGCAAAATTCTTGGAGAAAATCAGCTGGTGGCTAAAAAATCCAACACTATACTCAAAGTGGTCTAGAAACAAGACTTTTGATGCATTCCTAAATAAAAAAAGGGAGTATTTACCTGTGGAATGGGTGATGGGCACGGGGAACAGGGTAAGGAGTCTCGTTCACTCGTATCTATTGTCAGATGCATAGTGATTCCACTCTTAGTAGAAGCGACGTCGGCATTCTTGCGTCTCTGAAAAATCTTGTGCTGCCCCAAGACGTTTTCTCCCAAGCGTCGACTGATATCCGAGTCCGATAAAGGACGCAAGGAAGAGATTCTACAGGTACGACTCCTGAAGGGTCGTTGAGGTGTGCCAGAAGGTACGGTTCCATTCACCTGGAGACTGCTATTAAAAAATTCCGGGTAATCATTAAGGTCAAGGCTAAAATTCTGCCTCTGTAATTTCGGCTTCGCTTTGCCGGTCGGGCGGCGAGAAGATGAGATAACCGAGCTTCGTGTGCGCATATCAAAGCTGCAGTTACTAGCCAAGTCTAACTCGCTCAAGTCCGAAGAGTTGGAGAATCCCCTGAGTTGACACTCACTACAAGGTTCAAAATCTGTCTGGATGCTGACATCCCGTGTTTCCATGGGATCACACTGGACATATACGTCGTGTTGCCAGGGAAATCGCATGTCATGCCGGTCACCACTTATTTCAAATTGTTCATAAATTGAGGACACGTCAGAGAGCTTATCTTCCTCCACATTAACCCGCACTGCTGACACTACACGATACCCACAGTCATTAACTGGTTGTTTTGTTGTAATGGAAGTGGTGTGCTTTCTTGAAAGCGGTGGAAAGGTGGACGACGCCATTTTGTATTCCAGTGGCGAACTCTGGCTTTTTACGAGATTTGGTTTCAAAGGAGTATCCCTTGGCTTTGAGGCAGAGACACCCCAAGCTCCATTTTCTTGCTTGTGATCACGGCGGATCATAAGAGGATCGGAAGAAATATCCAGCGGAGTGGAAAGTTCAGGATCTAACTGTTTTTCATCGTCTGAAATGGGGCTTGCACTGCCATGGTGGTCGGGTTTCCCAGTTCCTTGCAGGTTGGATGCTGTTTGATGTAATAACTCGAAGTCAGCATGGTCTGTCACACAACTGGCATGTGGTTGTCTACTCGGTACCTCTAAAGAAAAAGAAAAGTGCACCAGCTGAAGCAAAAACTTAATAACAACAAAATATGGAGGTATAGTGTCTAAGCGCTAAGTTCTACACATAATCTGAGGCTATTTCTTACAAATCTTGCGGACAAATGAAAGACATTTACATGGCAACGGATATTGACGCGTTTACGGAGACACCATTTGGATTATTTCTTTTGTGAGAATGTATGGTTCTGAAAAGAACTGGTACTCTACGGTATTCAATATCGTATTGTGGCTACTCGTACATGTGTATCATTATACTTACACCTGATAATACTGAAACAAACTGTTACTTTCTGGGGTCGTGAATCCCATGCACTTGTATATCCCCTTTTTGACCGGGGGGATAAGCCATTGGACCATTCACCCAATTTCTAATGGTAAGAAAAGGGGCGGATTTGGGGGTATATTTTTCGCACTTTCAATGATCACCAGGTATTTGACAGTGCTGCGAAGGGAGAAAAAGCACGAAAAGCTTTATATAAGCCATTCGGATGTAAAGTTAAGAAGTGGGAGTTATGAACGCGGCAATCATTTTTATAGTTAAGGGTAGAAAATGAATTATGAAATAATGCTCCATTCAAAGGGTCCAATACACTCCCCTCACTGTGAACACTTCATAGTATACGTGCTGCATACGAATTTTGCTCCACATGGAATATACCAACAAAAGGTTCTCTTTCGTTTTCTTGGCAAAGCCAGTGTAACCTAAGTCTGCACAGTGTGTTTGGTGACGTATCTGTGGAGGGAGGGGACCGACTCTCCACGATACCAGCGTCCACGAGGAGCATCGAAGGCATGATGGGGACGCACTTAACTACCAGTACGACAGTCAATCTGAGACGTCATACCTAATGAGACCTACGAAAGCATGAATATAAAGTCTGAGTAAAAGAGTGAACATAATAAACAATTTCATTTCCGAAGTTAGCACCAATTGTCTCCACAGGAGGGAAAAAGAAACACAAAAGGCAAAGATATGTTAGGGCAGTAACCTGCAAAATTTAGGGGTCCAAACAATTAATATTTACAAAGTAACGTGTTTTTGATTATGCAACACTTTAACAAAAGCCAAAAATTCCAGAACTTAACCGTCATCTCCATCTTAAAGACATTTACAGAAAATTCCGTATAATGTCGTTTTTGAATATTTCTCTGAACTATTTCCCTTGAATTTATTAGAAGCAATACCTACATCATTTCATAAACTAATGTACGCAAAATTCGGCTCAAATTCAAATCTGTAAAAAGTGATCTAGAAACAATTATATTTAGTACAATTTTCTTAAACGGAAAATACATATACCAAGAACAATTTAAAATTAATTTCAACACATCTACGTCCATTCCGATAACTGTACATCCCCTGACGCCAGATGATTCTCCATCAGAATTGAGCAGCAAACATGCTCCCTATAGGCCGTTTGGCGCAACGGTGTACCGTACTGCTGCCAATTTTTGCCAAGTTTTGTGCAGAGTTTTACACACATGGGTTGGCAAATGATACTGTAAATATATATATATATAATTCTTATTTATTCATTCAATAGATGCAACAAGACTAACATAGTAATTACGTATCGTAAAGAATACAAATCTGAATGAGGAAAAAAAACCAAAATTCAAACACAACATGAGAAGACATGGCTGACATAAACGGACAAAAGCAAGGAAAATGGACCGAAGGTAGAGGGAAAGAGGAATAGAGGGCAGAAGGAAGAAGGAAGGGTGGACAGTTGAACAAAGAAGGACGGAAAACAAGGACAATAAAACATTCCCAGCCGTCATAATATCGTATACTTAAACACTGAAGCCCTGAAGCCTATATCTTCCCAAGCTCGAAACGTCAACATAATACTGAAAATAAACGTCAACATATAACGAAATAGACAAACTGCGAGTACATGTAAAGATTTTTTTTAAAAATCCACAGTGAAAATAAAAAGAATGACAACTAAATATTTCACAAATAAAAATGGCCCGCTAATGAATTTTAATCCTGATGATAACATGTGGCTGATATAACACAAAGCTTACTTGGTCAAGACAAAATGATGACAAAGCACGTTTGCATGCTGTGGTGTACGATAAACTGAACAATCAAATGAGAGCTGTCCAAATGGTATTGTAAAATATATTTCTTTTAATGAAGTGGACGTAAAATATACAACTTCGGTAAACCTGTACCAATTTTAGTTAAACTTGGATATTCAAAACTTAAGAAAGTCTACATTGAACAGCTCTTTTACTTAATTATTGCACGACGTGTTTGCTGCAACTGCAGGAGTCTTTAGCTCGACCAATACCACTGGCCTGCATGTAAAAAAAATCTCATCGTGAAAAACTGTACATGTCCATACACTCTTTAAGGAGGGGGGATCTTGGAAGACAGTGACTGCACTTCTAACCACTTCATCCAATCTGATAATAAGCGCAGGGCCTCGATATATATATTAACGGCGTCGACTGTTAACAATTTCATACGGCGAAGAATTATTTCATACCAAGACTTACTGACTGAAGCACCAACGACGAATACACATGTACTTAGGCCATGGGTAAGATCACAGGTGTGAGAAAGCTCGCCCCGTAAAGCAAAGTAAACGTTTTATGCCCACCTTCAAATACACTTGCATAAAATAAAAACTACATCAATTGAATACATCGTAGACTGAATTTTTTTATCCCTCTTAGCTTTTTAACGAACTACAGTAATATACATGATAGATATAACTAGGTCTAGTTAGATGACTATTTTCCATGTTGTTTTACTGATATTAGCTACATGTATATCCCATAAAACGGCGTTTAGAGTTCAAACACCATTTGTACCCAATTTTTTAAAAACACATTTAACCCACATGTTTACTAAAATGCATTTAGGAATGTGTTTTAATGCTTAATATTTTTGTGGTACACGTCGAGCTTTGTAAAATTCACTTAGAATTTAAACACATTCTTAAACACATTTTAGTGTAAATCTCTAAACGTGTTGTGGGTGAAACGCCGGTTAAAACATAGCTGGTTCATAAAAAAAGTGTGTAGAGAAACTACAAGTTAATTTGATAGTCTTTTTGGAACAAAATTTTGCCCTCCCCTATTGGACCCTCAAACTGGATTCGTCACTGACCAACTCCGACGGATCTCATAACAACACAGCTCTGAAGTACGATTGCTACATTCCAAGTTCCCGACCCCAAAGGAATCGACTTAATCAGGAAAATTTTTTACATCCCAACAGCAATGAAGTTCTGCCAGTTAGGACTGGATGCAATGTATTTTACTACATTAGTCTGAAGGAAGGGGGCATTTATACGTAGCTTTTTGGCATACGAAAAGATCTATGAACAATAGTTACATGTCAGCCGATGGAAACATGTCAAGTTATCACTACTGTACACTCGCCACTCAGGATTCAAGAAACATTCAATACGACCAAATAGGTTCGAAGACCACATACAAAAATTCCCCAAGTCATCAGCCACCTACAACAAAAAGTCCAGCTGTTTGTTTTAGCTATTTTTGGGTAATCAACCGTACATGTATCCTACGTTTCCAACACAGTTTCTTTTAATAAGCCATCTGTAACCTCAAACTTCAACCGTTCAAAGAGACAGCCTTAAATCAACCCAAAGCAAGAACATCCAAACAGATTACTAAAACCAAGAGAAAGTGAACACATCTACCTTTGTGAAAGAGATCGTCCCACATTTCTTGAAGTTTATCTAATACGAACGATGCAGATGTGCCAAGAGACTGCACAGGAACAGTGTCTTCCATCATGTCCACATAGAAATCACCCACAATCGCGTGAATTATCGGGAGGTAGACGTGCTTCACCTAAAACCACAATGGCGAATGCAGCACTGAAAGCACTCATTCTATACAACATCAAGCACAGTTCCGTAATTCAGTAACCTTAAACGTAATTCATTCTCAAGCACTGACGTACTGTCTGAGGCATTAGCACTATAATCAGGATATCAGCTGAACCTCTCCTGACAATCGACATTGAAAGCTGTAACGCAGATGTATGGGTGAGCAGGACGAGTTTACGCCACGGACAGTCCAATTCGTCAAGGTTGTTTAGAAAGTACAGCTTACTAATGAAACTTTGCAACTATTTTGTGACGCAATCAACAATAGTTTGAATTAAACCAGTAGCTTCTGTACGGCCCCATTGTCCAACGAAGCCCTGGTCTCTCTGGTATCATTGTCCAAGAGAATTGATAGGGCTTTCAAAAAGAACCACAAGGCCTAAACACGCACAGGATACAACAAAATTCGGACTGATTTACATGTACATGGATATCTAGTAATGCCATACTATTCTTCACTGAAATGTGTCTGAAATGCTGTAAACTGTGTAATGACATGAACATTTGGTAAACTTGCATTAAGGCACACAAAATTCAATCTTAATCGAGAACAAAACTATCACACCGGTTTGAGAACGTAATCCGCAAACAAAAACACTTTCAGGGGATCACTGCGGATTATTCCTCAGCATGCTGTTAGGACGTGCTGCTGTTGTGATACGACGGGATTATTCCTCGAGACCTTCGATCAATGGATTGCTGCTATGCTTTTCCGTAAGGTAGTTTTTCAAGCTCTGGCAGTTAACAAAGTTAATTAGATCACGGAGATTTTTATAATTGAATTGTGACCGATGCGATTGTCAGGGCAGGAGTAAAATCCTAAGCAATTAGCTCAACAATTAGCCCCAAAGCTCACGCATTTTCAAAGGACAGAGGGATTCTTTGGTGTGAATTTCAGCAGCTAAACATATGGTTTCAAAAGTCTTTAATTTAGAACACAAGCTGCAACAAAGCTTGCAGTTTAGGTTCTTCATTATATTGGTTGTGGTGCAAGTCTCGATTATAGCGTTATTTTGTTGACTTTTTGGCATCAGTGATAAGTACTTAGTCAACGGAACAGACCAGGACAAACGACCACGGTGTGCGTGGGAATCAATGTAGCC